CATGGGAGTGGGAGTGGAACGTCTCCTCATCAGAGCAGATGCAACGGAGGCAGACAAATTGGGAAAAGGGATGGAGTTTTTTCATGATATAGGGTGGGAGGAGGGGTAATCTAGGTAGCTAGGCGAGTCTGTGGGTTTACGGTAAATGCTGGTCCATAAACTGTCGCCAGAAATGTAAACGGAGAAGTTAAGAAAGGGGAGAGAGGTGTCTGAGATAGACTAAGTGAATTTGATGATGGGGTGGAAGTTGTTAGCAAAGTCAATTAACTGCTCCAGTTCATTCTGGGTGCAAGATGCAGCACCGATGCAGTTATCGATGCAACGGTGGAAGAGTTGGGAAACAATACCGGTGTATGTACAGAAGAGGGACTGTTCCAACCAACAAACAGGCAGATGTAGCTGGGGCCCCATGCATGTGCCCGTGGCAACACCCTGGATTTGCAGAAAGTGGGAAGAATTGAAGGAAAAGTTATTGGGGGGGGGGTGTGGCGTGGGGGGGGGGGGGGGGGGGGGGGGACTGGATGCGTCTGTTGGAGGAAAAAACTGAGACCCTGTAGGCCATCCTTGTGCGGTATGAATGTGTACAGGGATTGAACGTCCATAGTAAATATGAAGCACTGGGGGCCAAGGAACTGGCAGTTTCCAAAGAGGTGGAGGGCATCTTTTATGTCCCAGTTGTAGGTGGGAGTGCCTGGATCAAAGAGGAACAGAATGGAGTTGAAGTTGGAAAAGAGGAGCTCGGTGGGGCAGGAGCATGCGTAGACAATGCATGGGCCAGGGCAGTTGGGTTTGTGGATCCTGAGGCACAGGTAGAACCAGGCAAAGTGGGACTGGGGGACTGTAAGGCTGGAGGTGGTGGAGGGGAGGTCACCGGAAGGATTGAGGTCATTGACAATGTGGAAGACGGTGGCTTGATGGGCCATGGTGGGATCGTGGTCAAGAGGGCGGTAGGATGTGGTGTCAGAAAGGTGGCATTAGGCCTCTGCGACATAGAGGTCCATCCTCCAGACAGCCAGCGCCCTGCCTGTGTCAGCAGGTTTGACAGTGAAATGGGGATCAGTGCAGAGGGAGTGGAGCACTGCACATTTGGCAGGGGAGAGGTGGGTGGAGAAATTGAGGCGGTCGATATCATGTTGGCAGTTAGCAATGAAGAGGCCAGCAGGGGGTGTCCAATATCCAAGAGGCGGGAGAAGGAGTGTCCGGAGGGTGGATGGGAGTCTTTAATCAAAGGAGGAAGTATGGAGGCAGAGGCAGCAAGAGTTCCACATCGTGATGGAGGGGCACAAATGTGAGCCCTTTACTGAGGACAGACCGTTTGGCCTCAGACAGTGGGGTCAGGGGGTATCTCGAGGGAGGCTGAAGACAACAGCATGTGATGGGTGAGGGTTGGACGTGGTGAGAGGTGGGAAATAGTTGTGGGAGGGAAAGGAGGATGCGAGGGTAGTGGGCGGGGGAGTAAGATGGAGCAGCGGATAGGGGTTGGAGAGATGTGGTAGAGAGGAGGGTGGAGAGGTGGAGGGGTAGGGTGTATTGAGAGAGTGGACAGATGAGGAGGGAGACGTGTGCTGGCTTGCTGGCTGGTGGGCAGTAGGACCCAGGAGTGAGCCTGGGGAAAGGAGTCCATGTATTGATTGGACAGTGGGCAGTGTCGGTGGAATTGGGGCAGTGTTTTTGGAGTCGTCTGGAGCAGAGATGGAGGTTGAAGGTAAGTTCCTGTAGATCCCAGTCGATGGTTGTGGAGGCTTGGGTGCCGGACGGGAACTGGAAGCATCGGTGAGACCAAACACAGGTTAGGTGATCGTTTCACCAAACCTCTTCACCTGGCCTGTTACGGCCAACCTAACATCCCAGTCACTGCCCATTTCAACTCCCCGCCCCAATCCCCCTCCCACTTGTCCACCCTCTGTCACAGCAACTCGGAAGTCAAATTTGAAGAACAACACTTTATCTTCCGCCTGGGTACCCTATAGCCCAGAAGACAACGTTGAATTCTCCAATTTCCAATAACCTTCCCACCCATTCCCCAGCTCTCTTTCCAGCCCTACCGCCTCCCTTCCATTCCACCTTCTGACCCTCCCTTCCAGCCACCAACCGATTCATCCCTCCCATCGACCAACCAGGTCATACCTACTACTCGTGTCCACCTGTCACCACCACTACCACCCTCTGTTTATCTGCAGCTCCCCTTACCCCCACATCCAGTTCCAAAGAAGGGTAATACCCAATACGTTGACTTCTCTTTCCCTGCAGATACTGCCTGGCTACCTGCCTCCTGTTGATCTACCTTCGATTCCAGCGTCTACAGTATTTTTTTGTCTCTTTCTGGAATGTTCTGTTTCTTTGCAAAGGAAGTCTGGATGAGGATGCAATAGGTTTTGGCGAGATTTGTCCCGAGCTCCATGATACAGGAATCTGTGCTCTACGGTCTGTTTCCCGGGACGCATACCACGACAGACATCGACTGTGCCTGGAGGACCACCAACTAGGTGAAAGACGCTCTTTGGTCTTCCAGAACAAGAAGACGACCCCGAATGAGTGTTGGAGACTGGCACGTTCCAAGGTCCGGGACTGAAACTTGAGGCAGCTGCCGCCAAGCGCAGTGGAGCAAGATCACAGTCTGGGGCTGAAGGTAATTTTTAAGGACCATTCAAGAGGGTTTCTTGACATTATATAAATAGTGCAACTAGGGAAGAGGTTATACTGGACCTGGTTTTGGGAAATGAGCCTGGCCAGGTGAGTGAAGTTTCAGTGGGGGAGCAATTCAGGAGGAGTGACCATAATACTGTAAGTTTTAAGATACTCATGGATAGGGATAACAGCAGTCCTCAGGTGACGGTGTTAAACTGGGGGAAGGCAAACTACAACAATAATAAGCTGGAACAGGAGAAGTTTGATTAGAGGCAGCTGAGGGGAAATCCACATTGGACATGCAGGAGTATTTCACATGGCAGTTGGTAAGAGTTCAGGAGCAGCAAGTTCCTGTGAGAATGAAAAATAGGTATGGCAAGTTACGTGAACCTTAGATGACCAGGGATGTGACAACCTTGGTCAAAAAGAAAAACGAAGCATACGTAAAGTCTAGGATGATGGGAACTGACAAAGCCCTCAAAGTATATAAAAAAAGTAGGAAAGAACTTAAACAAGAGATTAGAAGGGGTAAAAAGGGATCATAAAAAGTTGCTAGCAAACAGAATTCAGGAGAAGCCCAAGACTTTTTATACATATATACAAAGCAAGAAGGTAGCCAGGGAAAGGGCTGGCCCACTTGAGGTCAAAGGAAGGAATCTGTGCGTGGAACTAGAAGAGGTAGTTGGGGTACCAAATGAATATCGGTATTCACCAAAGGAATTGGTGGAGGATGATTTCAGGGAAGGGAGTGTCAAATACTAAGCCAAGTAGATATTAAAAAGGAGAGTGTCTTAAAAAAGTCCTGATAGAATGGATCATAGAATATTGTGGGAGGCAACAGAACAAATTGCTGGAGCATTAACAGACATGTTTTTGTTACCTCTTTGGCCACAGGTAAGGTTCCAGAGGACTGGAGAATAGCCAATGTTGTTCCATTGTTTAAGAATCATAGCAGGGATAATCCAGAAAATTACAGGCCAGTGAGCCTCACATCAGTGGTCGGGAAACTACTGGAAAAGATTGGACAAGACAGAACAGGAACAGACCCTTTGGCCAAACATGATATAAAATTAAAGTAATCCCTTCTGCCTGCCATTGGTCCATATCCCTCCACTCCTTGCATATTCATATGCTGATCTAAAAGTCCCTTAAATGCCCCAATCATATCTACCTCCACCACCAGCCTGGCGGCGCAGTCCACACTCCTAACACTCAAAAAAACTTGATCTTCACATCTCCTTTGAACTTTCCCCTTCTAACCTTAAATGCATCCCCCCACACCCTCTTGTTTGAGATTTCAACTCTGGGAGAACGATTCTGAGCGTCAACCGTATCTATGCATCTCATAATTTTATAGACTTCTATCAAGCCTTCTGTCAGCCTGCGCTGCTCCAGGGAAAACAATCCTAGTTTGTCCAGCCTCTCCCTATAACTCATACCCTCTAATTCAGGCAGCATCCTGGTAAACCTCTTCTGCACCCTTTCTAAAGCCTCCACATCCTTCCTGGTAACATTGTGACCAGAACTGAACGTAGTAGTCTAAACATGGCCTAGCCAAAGTCTTATAAAGCTGCAACATGACATCCTGACTCTTGTACTCAATTCCCCAACCAATAAACGCAAGCGTGCCATACACCTTCCCTGCCACTTGCGTGGCCACTTTCAGGGAGCTATGGACTTGAACCCCAAGATCTCTCTGTACAGGATCCTGCCATTAACTGTATACTTTTCATTAACATTTGATCTCCCAAAGCGCAGCACCTCACACACCCAGATTATCTGCCATTTCTCTGCCCATATCAGCAACTGATCTATATCCCACTGCATCCTTTGACAACCTTCTACACTATCCACAACTCCACCAATCTTTATATCGTCTGCATATTTACTAACCACTCATCTACATTTTCAGCCAAGTTGTTTATATCAATCACAAACATCATAGGTCCCAATACGGATCCCTGCAGAGCACTAGACATAGACCTCCAGCCTGAAAAACAAATCTTCCACTACTACCATCTGCCTTCTATGGGCAAGCCAATTCTGAAACCATGCAGCCAAGTCACCATAGATCCCATGCATCTTAATCTTCTGGATGGGCCTATCATGAGGGACCTTGCCGAAAGACTTGCTAAAAATCCATGTAGACAACCTGCTCTGCCCTCATCGATCACCTTTGATTGTCACCTGCTGAAAAAATTCGAACTAGTAAGACATGACCTACTCTGCACAAAGCCATGCTGTCTGTGCCTAAATAGGCCACAATCTTCCAAATCTGCATAAATCCTATCCAGAAGATTTCTCTCCAATAGGTTCCCAACCACCAATGTGAGACTCACTAGTTTCCTGGATTATCCCCATTTCCCTTCTTGAACAGAGGAACAACATTAGATACTCGGCAGTCAGCCAGGACTTCTCCAGTGATTAATGAGGATATTAAGATCTTGGTCAGGGCCCCAGCAACCTCCTCTCCTGCTTCTCAATTACCTGGGGACTTATCCACCTTAATGCTCTCCAAGGAACACAATGCCACTTCTTTCTTGATCTCAAAACTCCATCGCATATTAGCATGCTTCACACAAATCTCTCAACCTTCATGTTCTTCACCTGGGTGAATACTGTTGCAAAGTACCCATTTAGGATCTCACCCATATCCTCTGCCTCCAAGGACAAGTTCTCTCCTTTATCCTCGAGTGTCCTACTCTCACCCTAGTTATCCTCTTATTTTTAATATGTATGGAATACCTTGGGATTCTCTTTAACCCTACTTGCCAAAGTCATTTCATGGCCAGGCCTCTTCTTGCTCACCTAATTCCCTGACTGAGTTTTTTCCTGCTTTCTTTATATTCCTCATGGGCCCGGTCAGATTTTAGCTTCCTAAACCTTGCACTAGCTTCTTTTTCCCTTTTGACTAAATTCACAACTGCCCTCATTATCCGAAAGTCCCTTGCCATCCTTGTCCTTTCTCCTTACTGGAACATGCCGGTCCCGAACTCTCATCAGGCCTTTAAACAATTCCCACATTTCAAATATGGACTTGCCTGTTAACAGCTCCTCCCAATTAACACACACTGGCTCCTGCCTAATGCTGATGTAATTTGCCCTTCCCCAATTTAGTACCTTTCCACAAGGGCCTGACTTAGCAACAAACAAAGATATCTTAAAATTTAAGAAGTTGTGATCACAGTTTCCAAAGTGTCTCCTACTGAAAGGAGAGTCACCTGGCTGGGCTCATAAACCAGTAGAAGGTCCTGTAGGGCCCCTCCTCTAGTTGGACTATCCACATCTGTTTCAAGAAACCCTCTTGGATGCACTTAAATTCTGCACCATCTATGTCTCTTGCTCAGTCAATATTGGGGAAGTTAAAGTGTGACAATTTTTTTCACTGCATCTTTCCATAACCTGCCTACATATTCGTTCCTCAATGTCTCGGTGGCCGTTGGGGGGCCTACAGCATAATCCTGTCAGAGTGATTGCACCCATTTTATTTTTGAGCTCTACCCATATTGCCTCAGTGGAAGAGACCTCGGTACGTCCTCTCCAAGTGCAAGTATAAATTCTCCCTCATTAATAATGCATCTCCTCCACCTCTTCTACCTTCCTCTTTATCTCATTTAAAACAACTGAAGCCTTAATCATTGAATATCCAGTCCTGTCATCTCTCAAGCAAGTCTCTGTAATGGCCACAACACCATAGTCTCATGTACTGATCCAGGCTCTAAGCTCATCTGCCTTACGTATAAAACTCCTTGCGTTGAAATAAACACACTCCAGCCCATTAGTACCATCATGTTCATTTACCTGTCTCTGCTTGTCTTTTCTTTCTGATTTACTGGTTCTAACATGCATCTTCCCCTCAATCCCTCCACTTGTTCACCTGCTGCTCTGGTTTGCAGCCCCCTGCCACTCTAGTTCAAGCCCTCCCAAGCAGCACTAGCAAGCCTCCCTGCAAGGATATTGGTTTCCCCCTCAGTTTAGGTGCAACCTGTCCTGCTTATACAGGTCACCTGCACCCCAGAAGAGATCCCAAAAAAAAAAATCCAAAAACCTGAAACTCTGTCCCCTGCACCAGCTCCTTAGCCATGCATTCATCTCACCCATCTTTCTATTCCTTGCCTCACCAGGATGGGAGGCTGGTAGTAACCCAAAGATTAGTACCCTTGAGATCCTGCTTTTCAGCCTCTTTGCTAACTCCCTGTACACACTTCACAGGACCTCATCCCTCTTTCTACCTATGTCATTGGTACCAATATGCACAACCACCTCTGGCTGCTCACCCTCCCCCTTTAATAATTTCATGCAGTCGCTCAGAGACAGCCTTCACCTTGGCACCAGGAGGCAACACACCATCCTGGAGTCTCGAACGTGGCCACAGAAATGTCTATCTGTGCCCCTAACTAGTCAACCTCCTACCTTTCGCTTGGATCTTGTCCGATCCTGCTCTACAGCAAAGCCAGTTGTGGTGCCACAGGCCTGGCTGCTGCTGCTGTTATACTCCCCCCGAGGGGCTGCCCCTGGCCAACAGTATCCAAAACCGTATCTGTTGGAGGGGGAAAATAGCCACAGGAGACTCCTGCACTACCTACCTGCCTCTCCTGACAGTCACCAATCTACCTAACAGAACCTGCAGTGTGATGACCTCCCTATAACTGGTGTCTATCACACTCTCTGCCCCTGTATACTCCTCGGTGTGTCTAACTACTGCTCCAACTGAATAACACTGTCTGAGGAGCTGCAGACGGTCACACTTCCTGCAGACATCGTTGTCAGGAACATCAGACTGGTCCCTGATCTCCCGTATCTGACAGGAGGAGCACACCACTGTCCTGCCAAATCCACCCCTTTAGGTCTATATGCAGTTAGAAGCAAATGGACTTGTTAGCAATAGATGGCATGGTTTTGCGTGGAGAGATCATGCCTCACTAACTTGATAGAGTTTTTTTGAGGAGGTGACGAAGATGATTGAGGAGGGCAAAGCAGCTGATATTGTCTGCACGGATTACAGTAAAACCTTCGACAAGGTCCCTCGTGGCAGATTGGTACAAAAGTTGAAGACACATAGTATCAGGGGTGAGCTGACCAGATGGATACAGAACTGGCTTAGTCATAGGAGACAGAGGGTAGTGATGGAAGGATGCTTTGCGAATGGAGGGTTGTGACTAGTGGCGTTCCACAGTGATCAGTGCTGGGACTTCTGCTGTTCATGGTCTATATAAATGATTTGGAGCAAAACGTAGCTGGTCTAATTAGTAAGTTTGCAGACGATGCAAAGATTGGTGAAGTTGCAGATAGTGAGAAGGATACAACAGGAAATAGATCAGTTGGAGGCATGGTCAGAAAAATGGCAATTGGTGTTCAACCCAGACAAACGTGAAGTGATGTATTTTGGAAGATCAAATATAGGTGGAAATTATACAGTGAATGGCAGAACCCTTCAGAGTGTTTGTTATGCAGAGAGATCTGGGTGTACAGGACCACAGAACACTGAAGGTGGCAATGCAGGTAGATAAGGTAATAAAGAAGGCCTATGACATGCTTGCCTTCATTCGAAGAGGCATTGAGTACAAGGATAAATAAGTTATGCTGCATCTTTACAGAACGTTAGGTGGACCATACTTGGAATATTGTGTACAGCTTTGGTCACCACACTACCAGAAGAATGTGGATGCTTTGGAAAGGGTACAGGAAATGTTTGCCAGGATACTGCCTGGTAGGAGGGATTTTAACTATGAAGAAAGGTTGGATAGACAGGGTTGTTTTCACTGGAAAGCAGCAAGTTGATGGGCAACCTAATAGAAGTTAAAAGATTGTGAATGGCATGGCTAGGGTGGAAAATAGGAGGCTCTTCCTGACAGTGGTAGGGTCAATTACTAGGGGACACAGGTTGAAGGTGCCAGGGGTCAGGGGTTTAGTTTAAAAAGAGACGTGTGAGGCAAGTTTTTCAGAGGGTGGCGAGTGCCTGGAACGCGCTGCCAGAGGTGATGGTGGTGGAAGCAGACACAATAGCAGCCAAGTGGGACTAGTTTAGTTTGGGATTATGTTTGGCATGGACTGGTTAGACCGAAGGGTCTGTTTTCATGCTGTACGACTCTACGAACCTATGTTGCAAAACCTGATTACTAACACAAGAACCTTTTAAATTCAAACACGGACGTTCATTCACAAATAGGTCAAGACAAACAGCCTTTTTAGGAATGTCAGTGGAAAATACATAGGCCAAAAAGCACAAAGCCTGTAAATCGGAGTCCAATCTAAATGGAGAAATAAGATAACTTTCTCATTGTTTCAGAAATAGTAGGAACTGCAGATGCTGGAGAATCGGAGATAACAAGGTGTAGAGCTGGATGAACAATGTCTTTGGTGGTGGGGCCAGATTTCTTGATGGGGGTGGGGCTTGAGGTGGGAGGAGGGGATAGGTGGGAGGAAAGACAGGTTAGGGAGGCGGGGACGAACTGGGCTGGTTTTGGGATGCAATAGGGGTCTTGATGGGGGTGGGGGGATAGTAAAAGACATTTTTCCCTCCCCACCCTTATCTGCTTTCAGGAGGGGCCACTCTCTCCGTGACTCCCTTGTCCACTCCACACTCCCCTCCAGCCCTACCACACCCGGCACTTTTCCCTGCAACCGCAGGAAGTGCTACACCTGCCCCTACACCTCCCCCCTCACCCCCATCCCAGGCCCCAAGACGACTTTCCACATCAAGCAGATGTTCACCTGCACATCTGCCAATGTGGTATACTGCATCCGCTGTTCCCATTGTGGCCTCCTCTACATCGGGGAAACCAAGCGGAGGCTTGGGGACCGCTTTGCAGAACACCTACGCTCGGTTCGCACTAAACAACTGCACCTCCCAGTCACAAACCATTTCAACTCCCCCGCCCATTCCTCAGACGACATGTCCACCCTGGGCCTCCTGCAGTGCCACAACAATGCTACCCGAAGGCTGCAGGAACAGCAACTCATATTCCGCTTGGGAACCCTGCGGCCCAATGGTATCAATGTGGATTTCACAAGCTTCAAAATCTCCCTTCCCCCCTACCGCATCCCAAAACCAGCCCAGCTTGTCCCCGCCTCCCTAACCTGTCCTTCCTCCCACCTATTCCCTCCTCCCACCTCAAGCCCCACCCCCATCTCCTACCTACTAACCTCATCCCGCTCCCTTGACCTGTCCGTCCTCCCTAGACTGACCTATCTCCTCCCCACCTCTCACCTTTACTGGCTCCATCCCCACCTCTTTGACCGGTCTGTCTCCTCTCCACCTATCTTCTCCTCTATCCGCCTCCCCCTCTCTCCCTATTTATTTCAGATCCCCCTTCCCCTCCTCCATTTCTGAAGGGTCTAGGCTCGAAACGTCAGCCTTCCTGCTCGGCCTGCTATGTTCATTCAGCTCTACACCGTGTTATCTCTGACTTTCTCATTGTTCTTGTTTTTAGCCACAGCAGGTTATTGTTAATTGACTATCAAATTGAAAATTGCCACATTCGTTTGGACCTATGCTTTAACTTGAGTAGATGTTTTGTTTCTTTTCGCAAAGTCAAATGGTTACTTTCCTAACCAATGAGAGAGAAAGTGTGATTTTATTTCTTGGCAGCTTGAATTCTGAGTTCCAAATGATCCTTCTTCCCTCAGTTCCATGACAAACTGTCACCTACAAATAATCCAAACACTGTTGCTGTGCAGTTATGTTTTCTCCCCCCACAGACATATGGGTCCGCATGCTCCACTAAATATCAAAGTCCAGCTTCCAGCAAAGTTATTTGCTCTTGTCAACCATTAAACAATTGCAAAGATCCATTTTTCCAACAACAAAACTGTCTGGACAAGGGAACTTACAGCATTGTTGACAACTTTGCTGATGATGACACAAAGATAGGTAGAAGGACAAGGTAGTGTTGAGGAAGCAAGGAGGCTGCAGAAGAATTTGGACAGGCTAGGAGAATAGGGAAAGAAGTGGTAGATGGAATACATTGTGGAAAAGTGTGAGGTTATGCACTTTTATGGGAAGAAGAGAGGGATTGGGCAATTCTCTAAACATAGAAAGGATTTGAAAATCTGAAACACAGAGGGTTTTAGGAATCTTAAGTTCAAGATGCTCTTACAGGTTCACTCACAGTTAGGAAGGGAAACGCAATGTTAGCATTGATTTCAAGAAGGCTACAATACAAATGCAGAGTTGTGCTGGGGCAGCACGTTGGCTAGCACTGCGGCCCCGCAGCACCAGGGACCCAGATTTGATTCCATTCTTAGACAACTGCGCACCCCCACAATTCCCTGCAACATCCCCCTCCCCCGCAGCATCCCTCATTTGCCTGTACTCCCCCTCCGCACCACCCCTCATTCCCCTGCACATTTCCTCTGTGTCTGCATTGAGTCTGTCTTCACTGTAGACTTCGAAAACTTCTCACAAAACACTGCAAAATTAAGAGAAGGAGGAACGTAAAACAATCACCTCCACCAGTGAAAATGTAATGGGAAAGCTATGAGATTTAGAGTTGACCAGTCCCCAGGACCAGACATCTTGGGTTTTAAAAGAAGTAGCTCAGACGACAACAGATGCATTAATTGTAGTCCTCCAAAATCTTTTTGTTCTATAAGGCTACTTTCTGAACAGAAAATAATGAACATAATTCTGCTTTTCCAGTCTGATGACCAGATTGAATAAACCTCACATTTCCCCATGATACTCCATCTTGTTACTCTTATCTATATCTGTGTCTTCCTTAGACATTACATAGCAATCTAGCTTTGTGTCACCAAACTTGAATACATTACACTCAATGTCTTCTATTTAGTAATTCACATCGATAATAAGCATGAGACCTAGCACATAGCCTTATTATTGTTATTATCATCTCTACCTTCTGCTTTCTGTCCATTAACCAATCCTCCATCCATACTCCCATTAAATCCAACTCCACAAAGTCTGTTTTTTGCATATTAACCTATGCAGAAAATCTTACTGAATTTTTTTTGGAAATTCTAGCATGTAACTGTTAGCTTCCCTTTATCTTACTAAATCGATCCCCTAGCACATCAATAAGTCTGTCAAACACACTTTGCCTTTCCTAAAACCATGCTGGCCATCTGATCTCACATATTTTTCCAAGTGTATTACTCATTTACCTGTATTAACTAGAATTATCTAATTATTTCTAACAAGAGAATTCAGATTTACCTTTGGTTTTCGCTCAGTATGGAACAGAATATTGGGCAAAAGTGAGTCAGGTCCAAGCGAACAGTAGAAAGTCACAACTCCAGCAAGGAATGACCAGAACATCATAAGAATATGTAAATACCTTTAGATAAAACAAAGTGATATCATATTTATTGCTTGCACTCAAACTGTAATAGGTTTATGTACGCTTGCTTCTACTTAATTACTGAATCAAAGAAAAATAGTATTTTAGTCTTTAGTTACAAATTCTGCTATAAACAAAAACACTCAAAGCACACACTACACTGAATTCTCCACTTTGACCGTACCCTGACATTCCCACCCAGATATAATACAATGGCTACATTGTGGATGACACAAACAGGAAAGGTGGTGAATATACATTCAATTGTATTAGTAACATCCCAAATGCTATCCCATCCCCAAAGCACATCCCATCTGTTACCACATCTCCACATCACATCCCATTCCGCTATCCCAAATCCACACCAGAACCCATTACGTACTCCAAACTCTCCCGACATCCAAATCAACTTCCACCCATTTTACATTCCCCTCATATCAACTTGCTCCATTCTCTTAACCCTATCCCTACTTCCCATCACCTAAATCTTTCCCCTGCCACCCCACCAATCCTGAATCCCATACGCAGCCCCCCATTCATCACTGACAGCCACTTCCTCCTCTTACACACCCCGCCACACATATGCCCTCTCTATTCCCTGCTTGCCCACTACCCCTCCCAGGTCTCTCCTTCACATATCTCCAGCATTCTTCCACAGACTCCTGTGCCCCTCATTCCTTATTCCCCCCCTTCTCTCATTTTCCCACTACCCTCAGTCCATTGGACACCCCGACCCACCAACCTGGTCACCATCCTGCTCCAACCACCAGATCTGGTGCCCATCCACCTCGACCCCAAGTTCCAGTGCCCATCCCTGCCCCACACACCCTTATTCCCTCCTTAGACCCCCATGCCACCCCCCTACATTACCACACACTGCCCACATGCGCCTAACACTTTCCACCCACCCCCACCTCATTACCCCACGCTGCCCCCCACATCCCCATTCCACTGCAACACACCCCTCCTCCACGTCAACCCTCATTCCACTGCAACCACTCCTCTGCGGCACTCCTCATTCTCAGCACCCCCTCAAATCCCTCCCCCACACCCCCCTGCCACCCCCACATTCCCTACGCCACCACCCTCATTCCCCCCCACCGCCGCCCCTGAGCTGGTCCCCAACCCCTTGCCACCTGTCATTCCTCCGCTCCACCCGCCCCCGCTGTTTCCCCTCTTCCCCGTTCCCCACTATCCCAAGTCCCCGTCCCCCTCATCGTGTCTCCCTTCAATCCTCCATCTCATTTACCCTCCACATCCATTCCTCCCTTGATTCCCCTGATTCTTTCCTCTACAGTGTCTGGTTCCCTCCTTCTACATCATCGTCACACGGATTCGGTCACCGTATCCCGTATTCCTCCGAATTCTGCTCCTTAGGTCCCCTGTCCCCACTTCCCTCCTCCCACACCTCTCCTGGTCCTCTCTGCTCCTGCCATCCCCGACGTCTCCCGGGTCTCCAGGTCATTCCCCCTCACCCCGACTCCTCCCGGCAGAACATGGTATGTCCATATATTTGCTTTACTCATCCTTCCAGATGGTAGCGGTCGTGAGCTTGAAAGGTGCTACCCAAAGTGCCTTGATAAGTTACTGCACAGCATCTTCTTGATAGAACACCGAGCGTTGGTGGTGATGGAGAGTGGTAGCGTTTCTACTCTTCTCTCCAACGTTTTTCTCCATCCCTTACCTTCTCCCTCAGTGACCAAATTGCTCTACATTTCCCTATCACCACCATGGCTGACGTCGTCAGACTGCCCTCCCTCTAAGCCACTTGCCCCTCCGGTCCGCGACGGCTTTTCTTTTACCTGTTAAACAGCAGGGTGGAAAGGGTAAGCAATAACATAATGAAGCAGAAGACCGGATACTGGCGACCGATATCCCGGAACAGGTGAAATCTGAGTCTCAATCCCAACTCCTGAAGCGCCCGCCGAACTGACAACATATTGACTTCCGCCAAGGCCTGGGTTTACCAGCGCCACAGCATTGCTCTTGCTCCTGCTCCCTCTCCCTCTCCCTCTCCGTGTACGGCCTAAGAACAGGAACAACGCCTTCCTCTCTCTTCACCTCGTCAAGCCCAGCCTCCACACAGGCCCGTCTCAACCCCCTCAGCTCGTGGTCACGGCCACAGCAATCGCCACAAGCCCCGCCTCCTCAGCTCATGGTCATGGACTCATCAATCATTACAAGCCCCGCCTCCTCAGCGGGCCGCCGCGGACCTATCAATTACCTCAAGCCTCGCCTCCAACCCGTCCTGTCGTGGACCATCAACTAGCGCAAGCCCCACCTCCTCCCTCCTCCCTCCTCATAGTCGGCCCCGCCCTCAGCCGTCAAACCTACTCCCTTCCCGGAAAGGCAGGTCCCGCTCCCAACCTCAAGCCCCGCCTCCCCACCATCATGATCCGCCTGCCCTCACCCTCAGGCCTTTAAAACGTCAGATCCTCCCCTCAGATCAGGCTCCGCCTTCTAATAATATTGAACCCTGCCCTCAGCCATCATCTCCATTTCCAGACATCCCTTTATCTACTCAGTCATGGCGGTGGAGTTTGCAATGTTGGTAGGGAACGGAATAAGTAGAGTCATACAACATGGAAATAGACTCTTCGCTCCAACCAGACCATGCCGAACATAATCCCAAACTAAACTAGTCCCACTTGCCTGCTCCTGACTCATGTCTCTCCAAACCTTTACTATTCAGGTATCCATCCAAACCTCTGTCAAACGTTGTAATTGTACCTCTGTCCACCACCTCATTAGGAAGTACATTCCACACGCAAACCAAATAAATAGGGGGAGGCAGATGGAAGATAGATAAAGGAGCAGACACGTGGAGAAGAGACGGACAAGTCAAGGAGGCAGGGATGGAGCCAGTAAAGGTGAGTGCCAGTGGGGAGTGAGGGAGGGGGTAGGTCAGTCAAGGGAAGACAGACAGGTCAAGGAGGCGGCGATGAGACTAGTGGGTAGGAGGTGGGGGTGCGGTTTGAGGAGAGAGGAGCAGATGGGTGGGAGAAAGGACAGACAGGTTAGGGAGGCGGGGACGAGCTGGGCTGGTTTTGGCATGCAGTCAGGGCAATTTTGAAGCTTGTGAAGTCCACATTGATGCCATTGGGCTGCAGGATTCCCAAGCAAAATATGAGGTGCTGTTCCTACAACCTTCAGGTGGCATCATTGTGGCATTGGAGGAGGCCCAGGATGGACATGTCATCCAAGGAGTGGGAGGAGGAGTTGAAGTGAATCGCAACTGGGAGGTGCAGTCGTTTATCACAAACCGAGCGGAGGTGTTCCATAAAGCGGTCTCCAAGCTCCACTTGGTTTCCCCGATGTAGAGGAGGCCACGTTGGGAACAGCAGATACAGTATACCACGTTAGCAGATGAACATCTGTTTAATGGGGAAGGTTTTCTTGGGGCCTGGGATGGGGGGGGGGGGGGGGGGGGTGGTTGGTAGGGGCAGGTGCAGCGCTTCCTGCGGTTGCAGGGAAAAGTGCCAGGGATGGTGGGGAGTGTGGAGCCGTCAAGGGAGTCACAGAGAGAGCGGTCCCTCCGGAAGGCAGATAAGGGTGGGGAGGGAAAAATGTCCTTGGTAGTGGGGTCAGAGTGCAGGTGGTAGAAGTGGCAGAGGATGATGCGTTAGATCTTCTTTCAGGTCATCTCTCAACCTCCTACGCGCCACTGAAAAAAGTCCCACGCTATCCAGCCTTTCCTTATAACTCAAACCTTCCATAACCAGCAATATCCTGGTAAATTTCTTCCGAACCCACTCCAGCTTGATAATATCCATCTTCTAACTGGGTAACTAGAACATGATTTGATTCGGAAGATGTAGAATCCATAATCGGTGGAAATACCACATAAGGGAAAGAGGACACTGGCAGAACTAGTCTTTAGACCCCCCCTGACAATTACTAAATTGAAGAATAGGACAGTGATTCACAGGACTGCTACAAAACAAGGCACAACACCTTAATTATAGCAAACAACTTACAGAACAGCCAAACAAGTAGAAGAAATTTCTGCTTGATAGCATTGTTGATGACAACTCCATTTACTGATTATTGAGTATAAACTGATGAGGTCTAATTGGCCACATTGAATTTGCCCTGCTTTTTGTGAATAGGGCAATTTTCTATTTGGTTGGGTAGATGTCAGTGTTGTAGTGAAACTGGAATAGCTTGGGATGTGCATGGCAAGTTCTAGAGCATATATCTTCAGTTCCATTGCCAGAGTGTTGTCAGGACCTATAACGTTTGTGATATCCAATGCCTCCAGCTTTCTCTTGATAATCACATGGAGTGAAAAGACTGATGTCAGTGATGCTGGGGATAACATAAGGATGTATTTAACTCAGCACTTCTGGCTGAAGTTTGTTATAAATGCTTCAGCTTTATCCTTTGCACTGATGTGCTAGGCTCCCCCATCATTGAGGGTGGGGATAGTTGTGGAGCCTCCTCCTTCAGCAAGTTGGAGAATATGCCAGGCCACAGGGTTACAAATTTCATTTAGTACAATTGCACTGCTGCTGAAAGGCCACAGCACCTCATGAACGCTCAGGCTTGCAGCACAGATCAGTTAGAAGTCTGTCCTATTTAGTACTGACAGTACCACACAACATGGAGGGTATTTGCAAAATGAAGACAGGACTTAGTACAAAAGGACTGGGAGATCGCCATCCTACTGCTACTGAAATGAGAAATGCATCTGTGACAGGCTGAGTGGTTAGGATAAAGTATAGGAGTCAAAATAGAGAAGAACACTAACAGCTGTGTCCATATACACTCAACTAAGTCAATTAATAATGCTGCTGCAGAGGAACCAATATTGGTGATGGATATTGAGGTCATCCCCCAGCCACCCCTCAAAACATCCTGGATGTGTTATTCAACATGGGATAGTACAGATTCACTAGCCAGCGGTTGTGTTGCAGAGGTGGTGTAGGTTGATCTGATGCCATGGAACTTCATGGAGTCTGGATTCAATGTTGAGGCTCCCTAAGGCAACTCTTCCCCCTGTACATACCAGTGTTCTGCAACCTCTGCTGGCTCTGGCCTGCCTGTTGGCCATTGCCTGTAAGTATAAATCAGATCAGGCTGTTGCTTGATCAAGCCTAATAAATCACTAGCCCCCAAATATTAGTAAGGACAACTTTTACGGAGTCAAAAGGGCTGAGTTTTATAGCTTTTATGGAGACTGTACAAGCGGCTTGCTGGGTAATTCAGAGGGCAGTTAAGAGTCAACCACAAAAAAGGGTTACACCTGAAACATTGACTGCTCCTTTCCTTCAGATGCTGCGTGGCATGCTGTGTTCTTCCAGCCTCCTGTTTGTTTACCATTTGTTGTAGGTCTGGAGTCACACATAGGATCAACTGCACAAGAATGGCAGTTTTCCTCCCCTAAACAACATTAATGAAGCAGAGAGAGGTTTTTTTTTTTTAAAAATGTAGTCATTTAGAATTTCTTAACTTCAGCTTTCATTGAATCCAAATTCCAACCTTTGCTGTGATAGGATTCCAAACTGGGTTACTAGTCCAGTGATAATACCACTACACCATCATTCCCTCAATCTCCTTCTCCATTCTGATTCTAAATACACTTACAAATGTACAAGGGTAAGTGTATTAGTGGTACAAGATATCCCCCACATTTAAGTGTGAAATAACTTACTTTTACTTTAAATTTGTTACCGTCCTTAGAAAGTGAAAAGCATTTCCACTTTTGTTTTTAATACAATCTGGCTTACAGACAAGACGGAAATAGGGAGATTTGTTGTAAAACTTGCAACCTGTCCATTACAACAGTATTTACAAATCTCAGATAGTAAGAACTGCAGATGCTGGAGTCAGATGACTGACTCCACACTTGCTGCCTAATCTGTTCCTTTCAACAGTGAATGGCATTATTGTAATAGAAGCCCTCCACTATCAACAGCCTGTGGTAATTATGGAGCAGAAACTGAACTGACTCGGTTTGTAAATACAGTGTAGAGCTGAAGGAACACAGCAGGCCAGGCAGCATTGGAGGAGCAGGAAAGTTGACGTTTCAGGT